GTTTGTTTTAAACTTCTCAAGTTGCCAGATGGGTGAGGTCCACCGCATCAGGACAATTCACAGAGTACCTGATAAGATGGAAACCACAGAAAAGTTAAATGTTTGCTGATGTCTGACCGACTACTTTGGTGCTAAGAGACAAACCTCACTCATCGTTTGCCCCCGTTAGTTTTTCAGATGTGATCCAGACTCATTCACTGCTGGTGTGAGTCAGCTTTATTTTGGCAGCAGTGAAATGTGAACCACGTGCACATTTATTATTGTAAAGAATGAATACAAAGCAATGGTTCCACAGAACTTGTTGTGACACCCGATCAGACCTGAGAGGAGGTTGTGTGTTCGATTAGAGAGTTGACTTTATTGCACGTTATTTGATATTCTCTTCAGATGAAACTCAACTATTTTCAGCATTTTCTTTCTACGTGAATTAAATTAGTTTTTTGTTTGTGTCATTTTTTGAACCGTGTATTGATTTGTCTTTGACATTACACACTGCACACATTAAACAGCTGCTCACGAGGAGTCAAAACCACTCTCATGCCACAGCCGGCAGCCTGTTAGCTTAGCATTAAGTCTTGAAGCAGGGGGGAAACCACTCACTTGGCAAAGTTAACAGTCACTTGATATTTCATTCTTGTAAACCATTGGACAAACAAAATGTCAGATATATAACTTAATATGATTTAAAGGTGCTGGTCCTTTTTTTCTACTTATGCACAGACCCACTTGTAATCTATTGAACAATTTGCCCCCCCTGACAAATGTGTCTCAGCACAAACCAGGTACCACATACAATTACTCAGTGAGCACAAGACTTTAATTCTTTTCATGAACTTGTTTTTCCATGTTTTTCTATTGTGGCGTGGCTCAGCGGCGCCCACAGACCTTCAACTGGTAGTAACGCACAATTAAAGCAAAAACGACACGAGAGACGCAGGAAGAGGGTGGAAGTGTATCGATCATTTCGTTTTTACATGACGCATCGTTACCGTTTCAAACAATTTAGAATGTAGCCCAAAGAGACGCAGAGCAGTAGTTGGTGAAAAAGGTTTTACGCAGTATTATGACTAAGACTATGACTACAAGGATACTTTATTAAAAATGTAATCTTCAGTTCGAGTGAAAGAGACTCTTTTGTGCCAGAGTCTCTGGTTTCACCTTTACGGGAGACGAGTCTGTGGGTGGGACAGTATGACTAAGTAATGACTACATGTGGGAGACTCGGTAAAGAGAGTTTATTTCCACTTACCGGACAATGCCGTCTCAAAATCTGTGATTTAATGCTTTATTATGACAGCGGAGGTAGAAACGCTGCATCCATTAAGGTTGTGAGTCAGGGATGAGGAGCATGACTGAAGGTCAGTCTGTGGGCAGAGGCCAGACTCTGTGGCTCTTCACCTGGAGGAGTGGATGAAGAGACCTAAATCACTTTTATAGCTTACTTTGGGTGCTTTTTTTTTAAATTTAACAGTTCATCACATAGACAAACTGCTTTCCATCCTCGGTGCTTTGGCTCAGACTCTTCTGATGGAAGAAACATGTAACTTGTTTAACTAGCTTTCTAGTTTAACTGGTGGCACTGTGAAATAAAAGAAACAAGCCATATGCTTCTACAAAGTAGATACATGTTTCTTTTCCAACCACTAAATTATTCCTGTCTTTCACTGAAGCCAAGAAGATGACACGCAAGTTAAAATTGACATGATCTGCTGTGTTTTCCCCCGTCTGCACTTTCTCATAAAAGAAGCACATAATGATTTGGTTTGACTAAATCATGAACTGTCTGACAGGAGCTTTTCTTCCGTGCTTCAATGCCAAAGGTTGAAATCATATCAAACTGTCTCGCTTGTTCTGGAGTTATTGTTACGGCGAGGAGAGCTGGATTTGTGTCCCATTGTGTTCTGTAAAGTATTTTCACCAAGTTCTTTCTGAGTCAATTTAAGGGAAGTATCAACATTTCAAGGAGTTCAAGTAGTCAAAAGTGTATTTTAACAGATATATTGTTTCATATGGGGATTAAACCCGTGACCCTTCAGATTCAGGACACATTTTTATCTTATCCACAGATTGTTTTTATCTTGCAGGTATTGAAGCTCCAGTATCTTTCGCTATTTCAGGAAGGGTCTAATCTGTATCTCAGATAATGGAGCATCTGCCTGTGCCAATGCGACAGCCTTGATAATTTCTCCACTGCAAAACACTTCCCAGTCCACGAAGGTTATATTTAGACGTTGAAACAGTTCAAATATCCTATGAGGTAAAATCATTCAACATTTTTTCCAAATGAGGCTTCATCTGTAAAAATAACAAGCCAGAAGGAGGTGGTTTCTCTTCACTAATATGAAGAAAACTATTCCAAAGACAGTCGTAACTTTTCAGTGGACTCATATAATTGTAGCTCAGCAGTTGGCAAATTTGGAATTTCTGATTAAATTGTGGGGATTTTGGAAATGAATGTTCATGAATGTAATAACTGTCAGCACTGGAAGAAAGTGCACCAGGGTATCTGTCAAATGGAAAAACCACAGAGGACTGTAAATAGATTGTTTTCTGACCTGCACACTTTGGTTTGTGATTTCTGTTGTAAAAAGTTTGAACTTCTGTGATGTTTCCAGGTCTTCAAAGAGAGAGAGAGAGAGAGAGAGAGAGAGAGAGAGAGGGGGGTATTAAGGAGGACATGAAAAGAATAATATAAAATTCTAGAAGCAAGAGTTTGTTGCCACTGTGTTGGAATGAGTCATATTTTTTTTGCCACATTGGCCGCGTGGCTCACTGAATGGCTTTGTTGGTTGGCGCCTCTTCGGTCCAAAGTGGAAACCCCAAATAGCCACTGAATGGGTTGTATTGACATTTTGTACAGACCTCCGCATCCCGGAGGACGTGTCCTGATGATTTTGGTGATTTCATCCAGCAACAAGTTGATGGATTAACTTGACACAATAATTCACGTTCCCCGCGGGATTAATTGAAATGACTGGTGACCCCCTGACGCACAATTTGAATTTAATAGATTTCCCATCAACGTGAGCTCTGCGGCTAAGTGGCATATTTCAGCATTAAACTAATTTGGTTGACATCAAACTGGGTAAAGATCAGCACATCGTCCCTGTGAACATGTTGATGAGGCATTTAGCTCAAAGATGTTCTCAGTGTGATTTTATTGGCGGTTTTGAAAGGGCAGAATGGAGGAGAAGGGAAAGGAAAGCAAACAATCCAGATCGGATGATTGTGAAACAGCCGGTGATTCATTTGTATATGAGATTCCGTTGTGCACCCGCTCATCCATGACATCAGTGGCTTGGCCTCTTTACCATCTTGTTCAGGTCTGACTGATTGTTCGATAGCTCGCTGCTCTTGCATTTGCATTTCTACTGTGGATATTTCTAAATGTGGCCTCAGATCCTGTGATAGATGTTGGCACATGAGGGATGGAAACTGTGCCCTTTGTTTCTGGCTGCATCTCATTTTCCACCACCGTCTTCCCTCCGTACCTGCTCCTAATGAGATCTCCTGTTTCAGACTCGGAGCTCAAACCAGCACTCTGGTAATTGCTTGAGAGACCTTGGGTGAAAAACACATTTGAGAGGATTTTCTCATGAAGATTTTCTTCCGACATGGGAATTGCTTGATCTTCTTAATTTGGATTCTATGAAACGGGTGCTTTAGAAGACACACAGGTTTAATCACCGCTCCAAGGACAAAGCAAACATTTTCTAGACTTTGCCTTTGACGTATTAAGAACCCAGCAGGATTGTTCAGGTCTGACACGTTAAGGCCAGGGTGGCATCTGCATAGAGCAGCAGGAAGCAGGACGTGATGCATCAATTCCGCTGAGGGAATTACGTTTTTTGTTCCCTTATCACCAAAAGCTCTTGAATCTTGTCTTTCCAAGTTGATGTCTGCACCTTCTATGTGTTTGGCTCCTCTTTTTAATGCAGAGATATTTATAATCTTCCAGTTTTGCATCTGTCGTGTGTTGTCATTAACTAGCCCCACATTTGCTCACAGTTTTTCCTGCAGTATTCTCACATGGGCTCACTCATCACATTTTCCGCATATTTTGCTGTGGGGCTGGCAGAAGAAGTCCAGGAAAACGTCCAAAGCAACTGACTCGAACATCTGCGTTCCCACATACAGCCCCTCCAGAAGAATTCAGGAAAATGCCCGGACACTGGTGCATGTCTAAAAGCAGCCTAATAAAGGCCCTGGGACAGACTGTTTTTAATAAAATCTGATGTAGTCTGACGTTATGTCAAAGCAGCAATATGATGCTGTCTTTGCTCACTTGTTGACTGTCTATGGGGAGTTGAGGGAAACTAGGGAAGTGAGCAGAGGTGGGGTGAGGGCTGCCTTTTTCCAAGCTTTGTCAGACCAGAGGCTCAGACTTTGAAAACCTCTGCTTTAGACCTTAAATATATTTGAGGCAGCCGTGAAGCCAAGAACCATTACTTCTGTCAGAGAGAAGGCCGTCATCCAACAGTAGAGTAGAGAGTCAACTCACTAATAGACCTCGAGTTAAGATGTGGGCAGAGGGGGAGAAGGATTCCTGTTGCTCTGAGTGTGGTTTGGCTCCTTGGAATCTCAATCAAGGTTTAACTCGTCCTCAGCCAAAGACCAATTAGACAAATTACCATCGAGGCAGAGTTTCGCTTCAGCAAAGCTCACACCCTTGTTACAGTAGCCTAATCAAAGGAAGGCAGTAACTGACAAGTGTTTAAGGGTTGCAGAAATGTTTTGAGAGAAATGAACAAATGACCCATGAGTCCAGTTTGTACATTAGTTTGGCATAATCTCAGATTCAGCTGAATGAAGCCTTTGTTTAAACACAGGGGAACCAGAAAGAAAGAAATAAAGAGAGAACAGGGGCCAACAAGAAAGAAGAAACCACATTTCCAGGGAATGAGAAAGAATTTATAAATTCATTAAGATGTATCCGTCGTTTTAGGAGAAACCTGAGGTGAGTTTGTTATGCTAATGTGTTATTGTTTATCTCGTTGCAGTGGCTGATTGGTGACAGAGACAGTCACTGTGGGGTCATCTGCTCACGGACGCAGGGGAAGCCAGTGTGCGGCTCAGACGGGCGGAGCTACGAGACCGGCTGTGAACTGCAGAGGGCGCGATGCAAAGATAAGACACTAACACTGGCACACCGCGGCCGCTGTCGAGGTAAAGACTGAACTACGTCAGTTTCCTTTGTTACAGTGGGTAATCTGTGAATTCAACAAAAACAAGCTCTGAGATTTATAGCTTCAAATAACTTATCTGAACATTACTTGAACATGCATCAGTGTGTTAAGAACTACAGAAAATGAAAAAAAAAATATTTTATGAGATTCAATCTGACAGAATATTCAGACAGGAAATCATATTCTACGTTGATCCCCTAAACACCTGTCAGCCTGAAGTGACTTGAATGATTTTTGATACTGGATTAAACAAAGATTTCACTGTAAAGTATGAAGACATCATCACACTTCTTGTCTTTCAGGTAAAAACTGGGTGAAAATTGACCAGTTGCCCGCGGCTGCAGCACCAACCACCGTGTCAGAGGGGAGAGACCTTGAGCTCAAAGGTGAGGACCAGGAAACTTCAGATTCAGATTCAGACTTCAGAAAATAAATTTGCAGGTTTGGTTCCACGGACAAAACCAAAAAGTTTTAGAAAAGTGGAACCGAATGAGAAGATGTCTTTCATTTTCCGCCTCTCTGTAAGCGTGTAAGTTTTTACAGACCAGGATCACACACTTCCTCAGTCTCTGGATGCCAGCCACTCAACAGCAGCAGAGATTGATAGGTCTAGAGTCAAGGTTGGAACTTGGCATTTCTCCCCCTTTTTTCAGCCCCTCTGCCCTTTAGGAAAACAGCCGTCCCAACCAAATCCATTTTTGGAGTGAGTTCTGTTCCCTCTGTATGGTTGCACATGGTTTTGTTTCATAATATTAGTGTTGTACCGAGAAGAGGAAAGCTGGGGAAGACTTGCTCAGTTTTGCAGTCGGCCTGTTTTCTTGTAATGAAGCAGCACTTTCATTCACTGACGCACTTCAAAAACTGATCCTCGTTTACTCCTGAAGACCCTGACGAGGGCTCACTGCTCTAGATTCTGATTAAACACATACATTTAACTACAGGTTGAGCAAACATGCAAACCTGTTTGTCCAAAGCTGCGCCAAAATTCTTTCTTGGCTCTTGTCCAATCCTTCATCTAAGTTAAATTGAAATCTGTTCAGTAATTTGTGCACAATCCTGGAGACAAACCAACAGACATGGATGAAAACGTAACGTCCTTAGTGGACATAATAAGAGAAAGAATGAAACCTTTGGATGAGCTCATATTGCTGCCTTGTCCAAACTAACATTAGGTGAGACACGATGAACTGTGAAAACCCTGTTGTGAAAAAAGTTGTTTTTAACATTTCTATAAATCTTACTTTAATAAGGAGTTGGCATTGTCAATAGAACGTTGGACTGAAACAAGTACGACAATATGTAATGAGCCTTGTTTCTAAAATAAGACTCAACACACAGTCAGAGTCATTTATAAATTTATGTGGCCATGTCTGTCCTCCTCGCTGACATCATCACCCAGTTCTGGCTCTGTCAGTCTTTTAATCTGAAGGAGACAACATGTCTGTCTCCACTCAGGTCCAGAAATGACTTTTTTATTTGTCAAGGGTGAAGGTTTGCCAAATTTGGAGGCCTGCGGTTTCACTGGTCAGCTCTCTGGTGCAAGTGTGTATATACATGAACGCTAAAACCTGAGGCTCAACTCCACAGGAGCTGCGAGTGCAATAAAAACTGCAGTCGCTGATGGGTTTGTGAACCAGTGACCAGCTGCTGTGGAGCCCACTTCATTCTGTGACCTTTCAGCCACTTCCTGTCTTCGTCCCCGTGAGAGCGGGTCTGGCTCATCAGAGCTGCAGGAACACAAGCTCAGTTTCCACTGACATTTCAAAAATATCAATCAAGTCGATTCCATGGCGCACTCCTCAGCGCTAACAATGTGTGGCTTACAGCGTGGCCCTGGCACTGGTCAGTGGCGGTGTAATTTGTCAGGGAACGTGTTGTTTTAGCATTTTGCAATAGTGTAATAAAAGGTCTCTGACTTGTCTGTGCGTGATGAATGTGCAGTGTGAAAGGTTTTGAATTCTGAATGCATGGAGAGGTCCTGTGCTAAAAGCTTGTTAAAGTTGTAATCCCTTACTATGACCGGGTTTCTGCGTCTTTCTTACGTCACTCAGCTTTTTAAGACCTTTTTTATTATAAGCATTACCACTTGATCAGCTTCTTTGTCAGGAATACAGATAAATGAAATGGTGTCTCTGTTTACGATGGAGCCAAACCACTCAAGGAAGAATAGTGATATTTGAATCCAGGGACAAACTGCAAGATTTATATTCTCACATTCCTAAAAAAAATAAAACCTTTGACGGCTCATTGTTATCAGGGAAGGAAAATGGTGACAGAAGCATGAGGGTTGGAAATATGTCCCAAAACAATAAAATAGAGGAGAACGTAGATGAATCATGCTCTTTCCTCTCTTTACTATCCAAACGTGCCCTGAAGCGAGACACTTACACGTCACACGGTCAGTGGCCAACAGTAGTAAATTGCGGTTGTATCGGTCAGCTCCCAGGTGTGAACCGGGGTGGTGTTGACAAAGAACAGACGTTCAACAGCAGCACCAGAGGTTTGTATGCAGTGTTTGAGAACAGACTGTCCTGTCGGTATGTTACAGATGCAGGTCAGTCCAAGTGTCGTGTTGAGAGGAACCAGGCTTTGGAACAAGCCAGGAGACCTCAGGAGTCCATGTTTATCCCAGAATGCAACGAGGATGGGACATTTGCCCAGGTCCGTCCCTGCACCTCCACACATTTAATTGTCCTCCATGTTTTTCACTCATTCATCATCACAACTTCACTTTGACCTGACTCTTCCTCGTGTGCTGCGTTTACAGTCAGCTAACACAAAGCTATTGTCTTTTTATTTGGAGTGAATTACTTTCTTGCCTCTGCAGGTCCAGTGCCACACTCTGACAGGTTACTGCTGGTGTGTCACCACTGACGGAAAACCAGTGAGTGGCTCCTCTGTGCAAAACAGGACCCCAGTGTGTTCAGGTACTGGGAGGGCGGGCGGGGGGGTGAAATGGCTGCACATATCCAAACACTTTCCTCAGCTATTTGTGCAACCAGAACAGCTTCTCTTCAGAATTATGTTGAATAAGCCGTGTGACTAAAACAATGGTACTGGAGCAGGATGTTTCCTCACAATTCTTTATTAGGGTTGAGAGGCAGCATAACAAGCACGTAAAAATTCAATGGTGGCTACATTTGTTGGATCATGGAGCCAAGAGTGCTTGAGGGCCAAGTCCCTGTGGTTTGGGCCAATTCACGTTCAGTCACTTCACAATTCAAACCCAACTGGAAATAGTTTGTAGCTGCAGTTCCCTCTCAAACACAAGATTGAGAATGGATGGGTTGTATTAGTATCTCAAAGCAGCACATCCGAGGACTTCAGGATTATCATTGAACTGATCCTACATCTGAAATAAATGACTTTCAGGAGGAGACAACAAGTGAACGCAGCCTTCGGGCTGCAGTTAGAGAGGGTCTGTCTTGCCACACTATGGGCACATGTGTATTACATGTCATGTGTAATACAGCAGGTGCAAGGTCAACGAGACGGCTAATGGCCGTACATCCAGGGGCCTCTTAGCCCCCCTCCAGCCTCCACTTGTTTAAGTGCTCTCAGCAGGCTGGAGGAGAGAGCGAGGGCCTCTGCACTCTCATCTTGGATGGGAACACTTTATGATAATAACCATCATTTTCCCTCAGAAGATAATACACAGGGGTGTTTGCCAGAATTGGATTGCACAGTCACCAGAGCATATGGTGCAAATTTGTGTGGGGAGTGTGGTGAGAATGGTCGCATGCCCCTCTGAAGCTGTTCAGCAGACCAGGCCAGAGGCTTCTTGTTCTCTGTGTCTCCTTCTTTATCTTTCTCTCTGCCTCAATCTCCCGCTCCCCCTCTTCTCTCTGCACTTGTGCCACTAATCAGCTGTATTGCTGCCTTCAGCAGTTCCCCCTCAAACAGAATTAGGAAAGTTCTTACATGGAGCATTTCCATTCAGCCAAGGAAAATCACATAGGTTTTCCTATTTAGAAAAAGTACTGAGACAGTGTTTCTTAATTCTACAAGACATGACAAAAGTTATTTTGGAGATTTAAGATTTATCCACACTATTATGTTTTCATTTCAAAACATCCCTTTTCTTGTGGATAATATATATATTTTCAAATCTCATACAAAGCCATCTGCACAGAAACACTCAATAATATTCATTTGCATGTTTTCAGGAAATAGGTTCTTAAAACTCAAACTAACTGAAAGGACAGTAACTTCTCTGAGTGGTGAGAGAAATGTTTTTAGAAATGGTCATTTGTCTGTAGGACTCACACAAGGACACAAGTGAACATGACAAGAGGACGGTCTCACACTATTCCACTGAAGAGTGAATGTAAACAATCCCAGAATTGAAATAGTAAAACATGTTCCACATGTTTTATGAGAAATAAGACATTTTCTTTCTTTTCTTTTTTAAATGTACATTTTGTTTGTTGCACAACACACTCTCTAGTGGCCTCTCTCTGTCCTGCATAAGATCCGATATCTTCATTGTTTCTTGCAAAGATGTGTCTGACACTGGAACCAGAATCTGGGCAAAATAAACCTGATCTATAGCCACAACTGTCAAACACACCCAACTCTTCCTTCCTCACAATCCCTCCCCTCTCAGCTGACAATAAATAATCTTTTCTGACATGCTCAGACGCCCCTGTACACTATGATCAAAATCAATCATCTCACATACATTTGCAGGAAACTTCCATGAATTTATGGGAACTCATGCTGCGACAAGTGGATTGTCAGGTAGTAAATTTCCTTCTAGTTGCCTTCATTAAAGTTTTATCCCCGTTGTAAATGGCTGCACTGTCTAGTTTTGCTCTTATCCTCCATGCATCCATGCATGACCCTCAAACATTTGCATGCACCAAATGAATGAATGATATTTGGAAATGTAGAGCACAATGTGTTCATTACAAATTGCAGTAGTCAGCAATAAGATAATGCAACAAGACAAACGTTTCAATGGATGAAGTACTAACAAAATGTGTTCGTCAAACTTTGACAAACCTCGGCATCTCTACTCTGACTGAGACAAGACGTCATCGGTGGGTTGGGCGGTCTGTGGGAGTGATGTTTTCTATGGGTGTAATTTCCTGAGTTCAGTTGGAGCATTGATAAGATGGTTATCAAGAGGACATCTTTCAAAATGATTTCTGTAAATATTAAATCATTTGTTCAATGGATCTAAAATGAAAAAACAGAACATTTGGAATCAAACATTCCAGAAAGGCTCGTTCGTGTTGTACATGTTGTGTATTTCTTTCTTCTTCACAGGGTCAGTAACAGATAAACCCCCCGGGCCACCGAACTCTGGTAGAAAAGGTGAGCTGAGATCTGCTGGATGTTGTGTGTGCATGTGCGTGAATGTGTTTTTGATTGTATGAGACAGACAGAGCATGAGCATCAGAATGTCTTTTGACCGGATCTGTCCATTTTTAACTCGTGCAGAGGAGCAGAAAGTTGCACGCCAGAGATTTAAATTTCTAATTTTAAGGGGATGTGAAGCCGCTGTGGAGGGTGGTGGTGGTGGGGGGGGGGGTGAGACGAGTGATAGTGGAAGGGTTTGCTCACGATGCTTACATCAACTGTTTTTCCCCCCCTCACAGTCCACACCTGGATCAAACAGTATTTGAGAAATACCGTAAGTTACAAGTTGTAGCATGTCTGCAGGACACACTGCTATTTCTGACTAGTGTTTGACCCAGGTTTGCACTCGCCTGAGACCAGAGCCGTAAACCGTTGTGTTCTGTTTACAGTTTGACCAGCTCAGGTCAGTTTGGCCTCGAGTGTTTCAACACACATCATCTCATTTAAGGACTGATGTTAGTGCTTGTAGAAATGACTCCAATCAAAGTTTTTTTTCTGTGGTTTGCTTTTGATTTAATTATTTCCAAAGGGATTTTCCAGATGCGACAAAACTGCCAGCGGGTGAGTATTCTAGGTAGCTCAACTCCACAGCATCATACACGATTGATTATAATTCATCCATCGTTTAGCAGGACCTTGATTCTTTCAGTTCTGAATATCTTCTTCACGTTGATGTGATGAATCGACAGTTCTTCCCAAATTATTAAATTTGAATAATTTAGTTGTGTTCATCTTGTGAAATAGTTGTGTTAAGTACAATCAATTATATTATAACTCTGTTTTTACATAGATTTTCAATTATTAAAGCTTTTTTTTCACAAAGTGAGAGGTCAGACTGCAAAAAGTGGAAAATTTGAGATATATAGAAGATGGGATTGCGATTACAAGGAGAGTTTGGATGTGGTGATGGAGTTAGAAAATTGGTCAGACCATCATCAGAGTCACCATTTTTATCGTAGCTGAATTTTGATGCCTACTTAATGAGATCATACCCTGGACCAGAGTTTTGGGGATCCAGCCAGTTGACTTACTGACCGAACCATACATCCATTCACTATCTATACTGCTTATCCTCCTCTGAGAACTCACACACAGAGATGAACAACTAATATAAAAACAAATCACCATCACAGCCATGCATACAGGCAGTGTAGTCATCAATTAACCTGGACTGAGGAGGAAGCCGGAGTACAAGAGAGGGAACAGCCACGGGGAGAATGTGCAAACTCCGAAAAGAAAGAAAGGTTTGAAACGTTTGCCGTGTAATCCACTGCACCACCTTGTCGGCGACTGACCGGACCAACATCCAATTGTCTTATCATGACAATCAAGGATAATGAAGTTAAAACGCCATTACGCGTCCAGAGGTTTGTTCACCTCTGTGTTTGGATAACGCGTAGGCTTCCTACACCTGCACTACAAACACGCAGGTCCTGATTGGAGCATGGTGATCTCGTGTGAGTGTGTGTGTACATGTTTGTGTGCTGTTGTTTGCAGTATGATTGTGGAGCAGTGTGTGAACTGTGTGGGCTGATCATGAGTAAGAATGTCATCGTGAGATGCTGGTTTGTTGACGTGCGTGTGAGAGAAAGAGATGTGGGTGGTCGTCCTCTTTTTGTATTATTCCATCTGTCTTTCTGTCTGTTTTTCTATCTGTCTTGGCCGGGCCATGTGCAAATCCCAACCATTCAACAGTTCTGGAGAGTAGATTGTATTAACCTCAATAATGGTAGTTTCTTTCCATTTCTTTCTCACCCTGAATCCAGATGATGGCTCCAAGCCCACACCCACCATGGAGACTCACGTCCCCCCTGAGGGTGACGGTAAGTCTGCACTCCCTACCTCCCCTCCTGTAACACAGTGCTAAGATTGTGACTCTGTTCACTATCATGTTTTGATATTGGATTTCAAAATGCCATTTCTTAAGAATACACCATTACTGTAAAAGGAAAGTGTAGATGCCGTATTGATATGACGATGTGATATGATCTTAGATGTAATTTTGTGGGAACAGAATGGCTTCAAATTGTGTTTGAAATATAATAACAGTGGTTAAATATGTTGAGTGTGAAAAGGTATTGATCTCTCCTCTGTCCCTCCATCGCTGCAGAGATAACTGCTCCAACACTGTGGATCAAACAGCTGATATATCATAACTGCTCCACTTCCAGGAAGCAAGGTGAGAGAAACATTCTTATTCTGATATTCATGTCCAGTACGTTAACACTTTGTTTTAAAGCACTGGAGGAGAGAAACACACATATTGATCTTTGGATGAAAACTATACCACAGAAGAAGTTTGTCTTCGGGGTTACCCGGTGTTGTTCCAGTTCGAACACTGCCCTGCGCTGCCAGGATTGTGTTTCTTAGTTTCTTCCTCTGGTGAAATTTGTTTAGCTTTCTCCGTCTCCTTTTCAATTATGCCTCGACATGTTCACTACCCCTCTGGGCAGCCAGACACTTTTGATGCTGTTGCAACAAGTCAAGGAGTGGATGTGGTGGGGGTTATGTGTGTGTGATTTAGCTTTATTTCATATTTTAGCATTTTTGCTTCATGAGATCTTTTAAATTTCCTACGATTAAGTCACATTACCTTCTTTTTAAAAAAAAAATCAAATTGCACTTAAAGTAGCTCAAATCAGTTTAAATAGATTTTCATTAAGATTTTATAGAGACCCCTTGATCACCACATGAATATTTAGAGTATACTGTGAATACCTGTTGTGTGTATATTAGGTCTCACGGTCTTCTAGTGTTTCACATTCACCTCATGCTCTCTCTTATTTACAGGCTCCACTCCCACACAACAGATCACACAATCAGTTGATTGTAATGCAGCGCTTTATCTGAGTGATGGTGATGTGGCGGAGGAAACTGTGGTCAGGGCAGCATTGAGTTCAGTATTTTAGCTGAGAGAGATTCACTGTGACAGCTCTTTGAAACCTCTGTGGAAACACCAGCTTCCTGTTTCCAATTAGCATCTGGTGTCCTCAAAGGACAACGACAAGGCCAACCAGAAACAGGGGGCGAGGGGGGGCAGCATGTTTGAGGCATGAGTGATGTGTTGGTGTCCGTGTGTTTCAGATGTGCACATCATTAACTAGAAAAAGAAACAATGAGTTGAAGCGTGTTGTGTAGCTTTGTCAAGCTGAGGAATCAGGTGAGGAGTTTCTGTTCTTAACTACGAGTTGATAACAAAGTTTTCTCGATTACAAAAGTTTAAAGGAAATGTTTAAATGCTAGACCTCTGTTGGTAGGAAAGGGTTTTCTTGTACTTGAGAGACAGAAAAACTAAATGTTGGAGGAACACAATGCGCTCATGTCCACTTGGTACAAAATCGGCAGGTTTGAGGATTTCGTTTTTGTTTAATCCTATTTCATGTAGAGTTGAAGGGACCCTGCACTTGTGGTGCTGTGGTTTACTTTTCAACCAAATGTCAAAAATCACATATTGTCTTTACGAGTGACCCTTCCATCTAGGTCATAAAGACAAACACATGCACCTAAACAGCTCCATACTGAGTTCCTCTATTACTGACATTTCCGCTATTTCAACCGCAGAGAAGGCTCACTAGAGACAATATTGCAGTGATTACTCCACAGCTGAAAACCATTGGAGTGAAGCGAAGAGGAGAGAGTGCTGGGTGGGTGGGGGATGTAGGTGCAGAGGAGGGAGGCAATAGGATGGAGGGAGGCAGAGGGAGGGAGAGAGAGAGAGAGAGAAAGAAAAGAAAGGAGTGGAGGAATGAGAGGCTTCTGGAGTAGGGAGGGAGTTAAAGAGGGTTAGGAGAAAATGGTTTCACTTGGTTCAGAGCCTGGAGACCAAGGGCCAGAAGGTATAAAATTGGGCGGCCTGTCTGTGAGTGGTTGTGTTTCATCCGTTATCAGTTAGCTCGGAAATCACAACACCACCCACACAACCAGCAAACTGATACAACTGTTTCTGACATGCACTTGTGTGGGTCTCTCCTTTTTCCAGGGCAATATTTGTTTTCTGACGGTTTGTGTTTCTTATCGTTCAGTTCATACCAGAGGAAGATAAATAAAATTTAAAAAAGGAACAAAAAAAATAAATAGAGCAGAAATGCAGATATCTGAGGCAGACAAAGTTTTAGATCGGATTTCAAGTCCACACAAAACAGAGGATTACATTGCAAGCGTCCAGCCCTTTTCCATTTATATGTATAAAAACAATTTTCTTTATTGAATCCTTGCTGCTGGCGCCAGCATAACCTCTGTATAATAAACAGTGCTAAATAATTTGGATGTGAAGAAACCTTGGCAGGAACCAGAGCCATGGCACAGCACTAAGAACCCTTGAGTGTGAGTCTTCGCAGAAGAAAAAGTTCACTGGTGCAGGGACACATTTAGTTTTGTGTTGGCAGCTATTCTTGGGAAACATGAACACCCCCACCCCCACACACCCGATATCCCCCACCCCCCTGAACCAGGCCGCTGCAGAAAAGCTCAATTTAGTGAAGAACTGATGTAAGGTTTCATAATCTATATGAAATCAATGAGCGTTGTGCTCAAGAGCTGTGAGCTGGTACTGCATGTCTGGTTTGTCAAGAGTTAAGTGAAGGGTTAAGTTGAATTTGCACAATAAGATGCAAATTTACTCCTTTTTTGATTCGTGTCTTATAAAAGTTAGCTAATGCAGTCGTGGTATTTCCCATTAATGATCCAGACTATAGAGGCTCGCCTAAATATAATTCGTCCCGCCACAGTTTAACAATGAACCACATTTTATACACCGTAGTTTCAAATAAGTTTCAAACCACTTTAACTCTAATAAATTGGTGTGTGCAGAGTTATTCAACATGCTCACCAAGGCTGCAGCTATGGTCCATAATGTTCTTACTGTCCAAGCAGATAGTCAGACCTCATAGTTTCAGCTGCAGTTGTGGGATGGAATGCAGTTCAGAGAGAAACTTGGAATCTGTTGTGCATGAGTGACCTTTGTGTGTGTGTGTGTGTGNTGTGTGTGTGTGTGTGTGTGTGTGTGTGCTCCCTCGTTACAGCCATATATTGAATTAATTCTGTGGAAAACAACTGAGGTGTTTCTTTACTAAACTTAGATTCATGATTGATGACCACCTCAGGGGAAGTGAAAGTATTAGACATAGCATTTTCATATTACCACCTCCAAACACCTTTATGGTGAATGTGTCAGCTAACATTTGTCTGTTGTGAGTAAAAATCCAATATTCATTCTCCTTAAGTTTTGCTTTCCATCCGTTCCTGAGAACATATCATTTTCTGTAAAAGAAAGTTTTCATATCAGCAAACATGAACGCTGATTACGATTTGTCTGTGACATGTCATTAGCCAATTATTGACCAACCTCTAAATCTGTGGAGCTCTTGTCTCGTTTGCTGCTAAATGTTTTACTTGCTTTAACAGCGAGTTGCTAACTTCATCCATCTGCTATTTTGTGTTGTGGTTTAGTTGCCTAGAAACAGCTGCTTGCTGCGTCTGGAAACAAGGTTGATGACGCTGAACCGAAACTAAGCTAAAGTCGCAGCCTGTCAAGTCACAACAATGACACAGTTCTCGGAGCCGAGGGGAACTGCAGAGTCTGGTGATAATTCTCCATGCAGTTGTCACTACAGTCAGTTAATCATTGAAGCTATTGTAGAAATACAAATTCAAACTGGTGTAAACTTCGTGAAAACTTCTTCCACACTTGTCATGCGGCGAGGAATATAAACAAGATTCTGCGGGAGAGAAGTTCCATATTGGATTTCACAAGCTTCCTTTTCTGCTGGTGTTTTGAGCCCGACATCGACTGTGCCGCATTGTTCTAATTACGCTTTGGTTACTGGAAGTGTGTGAGCTGAGACTACTGGCACTGCTGTGGCACTAATCATCTCCACAACATGAAAATACCACATCTCAGCGCCCTGTGCTAAACTCTCCAGACAGGTAGTGGGACCCTGTTATTGAAGCTTAATGCTTCACTTGGATGTAAAACGAAGGATGGATCAGGAGTGGTAAAAAAAACAAAAAAAACACACTTCATCACTATGGTAACAAGCTCAGCTTACAGCTCTGTTGTACTTGGGTTAAGAGTGAGCGATGGACTAAATGGATGCGAATGTAAATACAACGTGGAGGAGCAAGGTGTTGCAGGAGCATCTTTCAAGAGCCCAGATGATAGATCATGGTGGGTTCAGGATTCATAATATACAACCTGAGGAAGTCAAAGTGCTTGAAACTGGACCGGTTGATACAGCTCGGTGTGGTTTGGTTACATGTGGTGGAACCGTTGAGTAACATTGGACCTACAGAGCCGGTTCTTTAACAGATGCTTCTGTGTGTATGTGTGTTTGGTTTCCCGACCACGTCTCTGTATTGAGTGCGTTTCTCATGGTTTTAGAGAAGGTTCCCTCTTGTGACCAGGAGAGACAGAGCGCCCTGGACGAGGATCGGCAGAACCCTCGTGAGGCCATTTTCATCCCCGACTGTGGACCCGGAGGTCTTTACAAAGCGGTTCAGTGTCACCAGTCCACAGGCTACTGCTGGTGTGTTCTCGTGGACACAGGTCGGCCCATTCCTGGAACCTCCACCCGGTAAATAACTATAAGAATTGCTACTACTATTATTACTATTACTACTAACTCAGTACGTGCAACAACTGCCACAACTTTTCCTTTTGATGCGTATCATGGGTTACAGTTAGTTAGTTAATATGTCAATGTACGCTTACCAAAGTGGTCACCTGACCCATGAACATACAGACCAACACTACAACCCAACAACAAAGACCATAAACTTCCTCAGGAATCTGATCCAAGCTGCTTTTTACGAGCTAATTTGGTTAAAAAATAACATCAAGCTTTTATGGGAATATTATTTAGTTAACCATAAACAATCAGAGTTTGGTTCAACATTGTTTTCAGTGCAGTTGCTGCTGTTTATATTGCCTTCGGGGAAAAGGCATAAAAATGGGTTTCTGTAAGAGCTTTGTGTCAGAGGGATAGAGATGAGGCAACACAGAAACAGGTTAAATAAATAATACCAATGCTCATGTTTTGGTTGTTCAGAAAGTTTTTGGGATTGTCTTCTCGAACATGAATAACTTTAAGTGAAAGTGTTACAGCATGCGCCGGTAAATGGATGAACTGTTTTTGTTCCTGAAGCGCTATCATCAGTCTCTCTCCACTAAAGTGTGGATGTTTGACAGGATGAGGAATTGACTTTTTCACTTTAATGTTGTGAAAACAAAATAACAGGTTGCGTTCAAATATGATACTCGTTAAAAAAAAAAGAAAAGAAAAAAGATTGACAACCCAGAGTTTCTATATATAAATCCAATGTATAAAGGTAACACTAGCAGTCTAAATTATTTTTTAGATTTACAGAATGATGTGATTATTTCATTCAGAGAGATCTCATGCCGCTCCTTCCCAATTTCTTTCCTTGGGACAGCGATGTGCCAGTGGTCATCAAAAATCCCATCTTGGATGAGTGGCCTTGCAGACTGAGAAAAAAATAAATGACAACTTGCTTTTCCTTTGAAAAAAAAAAAAGAGGGGAAAAAACCTGAATGAGACACACATGCTAAATTTTCCAAGAAGCAGTGATACAATAGCCAGGAGAAAACGAGTCATGCCATGCATAATGCCGAACAGTTTGTTATGGCTCTGAAACAAAGCTTTTGCACGTCACATCAAATTAAGACTTGATGAAAATAAAGATTAATCACAGTTAATAATTCTTTACAGATCGACAGCTGACGTGCAGAGTCGAGAGGAATCGTTATAGGTTGTAGATTGTAGATAAGAGATTGAGCAGGTTGCATGCCATCATTAAAACAATCATCATGGTATAATCAATACAGTATTCCTCCAGTGCCTATAAGCACGTCCTGGTTTTAAGCTGTAGCTCAAATTATTAAAAGGCTTGGAAGGAAAGCAGGAACATCTCTTGTGGTGTTTTTGCTTTGTTGAGTTACGGGCCATGTTTCATTTGTTTCATTTGAAATGGCTGAATTTTCAACACGGACATGTAGCTCCTTCAATGTTTCATATTTTTCACACCTTGTTTGACGGGTTTATTCTGTCCGTCACCAGCCTTCTCTTCTGTTTCCGTCTCATGCAGCCATGTCCCTGCTCTCCTCTGTGTAACAGGTACCAGAAGCCAGAGTGTGACAGTGCTGCACGGTCTCGTGTCTCAGATACAGAAGATCCCTTCCAGGGCAGAGAACTGACAGGTTTGCAGACATATCCTGTCATTTAATTTATGGTCTTTTAACAAACATATTCACAGACTAATATGAATAATAAAACATAATCCAGTCAGATATTAACTGTCACTGCTACACGCCTTAGTTACTGTTGCTGTGTCAAGATTTCTGCTTTTGGTAATTCTGTTGGATTTACCAAATCTAAATTGTTGTTACAGTTGGTCCTTGATTTTAGTAAACAAAGAGAGGCGGCTCCTTTTTCAAACAATAGATCTGTAAGTTGGCTGCACTCAGTGACTCCATCTGAGTTCTTCGTGTTTCAGACCCTCTTGATTTTAAACAAGAAGCCTACAGAAGGCTCTTAAATGTCCGGATGACTACCTACACATTATCTTCTAAAAGACTAAAGCTGCAGTCTGACACCTCAACAGTTACTGATCCATGGAACTAGAATCACTTTCTCCACCTTCAATGCATCTGTGGGGCTTGGACAGTTTGTATTTGCACTTGGTAAAGTACATACATTACTTTTTCCACCTTTGTCTTAATGAAGCACTCGGAGGCCTTTGATTAACAATCGACCACACCACACTTTGTGGTGTTGGATTCTCCAGCGGCAAGGATTAGAGGCTCTCCTCTAAACTGGAGGTCATAACCTCAGCTCATACTCCTCTGCCCTTGTTACTGCTCACTTACTTTTGTTGCTCCTCTGTTTCCCCATCATTTAAAGTTGCACTGTAACTCTTATTTAATTCCCCATCTGGTGAGTTTACAGAGTCGAGCATGACTCCAGACTGTGCAGCAGATGTGTGGCATGTTTTATGGAAGGTGTGAGTGTTGCGGGGCGCGGCGGTGAGGCTGTGGGGGTGATGGAGGCTGCTGGTTGCTGAGTGGAGATATTTTTATGTACTGTGAGAGGATGTTCTGAAACCCCACAACAAAGCACGATATTTCATTGCCATCACATCAAGGCAGGGTGAGAGAAGAGAGCTTGAGAGGGCAGTTTGTTAACAGCTTGCAGCCACAGGTTCAATCTCATTGTACACAAAATGCCACAATGCCACTTCTGTCAGCAGCAGCAGACGAGAGCTTCCCCTGAGACTCAAGGCCGGGATCTGTTAGTCTCTACTTCAGTCAGTTCAGGAACTTTATTTAGTTTAAAACCTGTAGAAAGGGTTTTCTGCAGAATTCAACAACTTACATTTAGGACTATTTAAGACCTTTATCAAATATAACAGATAGGAAGGAATATACCAGTTCCACAATTACTTTCACTTCCTCATTATTGAACATAAGTTTAAAATAAAGCTAACTCTAATGGTGTTCTCAGTTATCTGATCTGAACTTGAATTCAAAACTTTTTTTACTTTCTATACTTGAACCAATTGAAACTTCCAGAATTTTCTAGCAACTCTAGAGAAATCCTTTCAGGGCCATAAAAATAATAATAAACCAAAATAATTAGAAAACATTTTCATTGACATGTAATTTGTGACAAGGTGCTGCAGGTGAATGCTGCTTTGTTTGAAGTGGTTAATAACTAAATAAGTTACTAATCGAGGATGTGAGGATCTGAGTTTAGGCACAATTGGAAATTCATCTTAGTTCTCAACCCTCTTTTTATTCGGTGCAGCTCTATATGTTTTCATCAGTCATCAGATTAACAGGATCAACTGTAAGTGGCCAGATCCTTATTGACACTGCCAGTGGTCCTGCACCACGTTGTGCCCTTGACACCTTGCCATGTAGGCTCCAAACAGCCACACGGTTTGTGCTTCATAACCCCCCAATTTAACACTTGGATTAAGGCACAGCAAGGCAGTGCTTCTCCAGGCCTGTCATGCTGTAGGAAATGCTAATTGGATTCACCTGGCAGGGCAGCGGACCACCTCCCACAGAACGTCCCGAGCCAGCACAAAGGGAATGAAAAGAAGTGAACAGAGCCGAGGACAAGGAGGCCACAAACACCGAGTGGAAAGGGAGGAGGGAATTGACTGAGAAAGCTTGAGAGAAAGAGGGAGAGACTGAAAAAAAAGACAGAATGAGAAGATTGGTTTACTATGCAGCTGCTTTTGAAGTTTCCCTTTAACAGACACAATTAGGAGGGAAACATTTGCACTGGTTTTGTGCTATTAAAACCATACATCTGGTCAATTAAAAAGAGCTACCCAAGGTGTTCAGAATTGTGTCATAAAAGTTAACAGGTCTGCAGCGCTCAACAAAGCTTTCTCATCACCGAACACTTCTGTTTCACCTCTCGCCATGTGCCATAGCTCTGTTTTTCTCCAGTCTCACAAAATAGCCAAACTACATCTTCCACCTCTGTTGGAAATGTATTCAAAATAATTAATAATAATAGGGAACATAAGACTTTTCACAGTTACACCTGGTTTGCCAGGTTAAGACTACGTTTGCATGTTTTCTGTTAGTGCACAACAGCTGTTTTCTGTTGACATCTGTCATAATGGTTCACTGGTGCTGAGGCTTTAGAGGCACTTCAGCTCCACTGTAGCATAATGACCCAAATTAGTTGTGGAAGGTAATTCTGTGTATTTTTGTCTTTGATTCGTGCCAGGATGCCCAGAGGGGAAAAAAGTGGAATTCATTACAAGCTTGTTAGATGCCCTCACCACAGACATGGTGCAAGCCATAAACTCACCAGCCCCCTCTGGTGGTGGGAGGTAAGTGGTATTATATGACACAACAGGCTTAAGGAGCATTGTTTGTACATTATTGCCTAAAAAGGTGAATTCGTTCTGCCAAGCAAAGCAGAATTTCAATTCAAATGTTTTCTATTGCAAGTGAACAGTTGCCCAGATGTAATTTCATCAGAAGTTTTGGCTCCTTCCCTTTATCTAAAATTATTGTGGGTTTTGTTACATCCATGTTTTTGTCTTCACTTTGTTCCTCTGACCATCAACAGGTTTGTTGAGCCTGATCCCAGTCACACTCTAGAGGAGAGGGTGGTGCACTGGTACTTTGCCCAGCTGGATAACAACGGCAGTCATGACATAAATAAGAAGGAACAAAAACCTTTCAAGAAGTACCTGAAGAAAAAAGCCAAACCCAAGAAATGTTCCCGCAAGTTCATCGACTACTGTGACCTGAATAAGGACAGGGCCATTTCCCTGCAAGAGCTGAAAGGCTGCCTGGGTGTCAGCAAGGAGGGTAAGAGAGGGCAGGGTCGTGGTGTAGGGTCCTGACCCTGCTATGAACCTAAGGCCAGCTGGGAAAATCTGCATACAGTGACTCTTTCAACTCTACTTGATTGTAATATGATGATTATTTTCCATGTGACAACAATTTATTCCCATATTACATTGTCCTAATATTTTCATCATGTCACAATTAAAAAAAAAACAATTTAGTCAGAGTCAGTGAGAGAAAACAATGAAGTATCTGTGCTTCATGTGACATACAGATGTGTTGGCTCATGAAAAAAGTGCACTGTGCCACTCACTGATGAATATTTAGACAAGACTAAAGTATTTGTGGATCATAAGTAACCGTCTGTGCCAGAAAACTGAAACTAGTCAGTATACAGACTGGTTCTAATATAGATCATTACTCTCACTGCTGCCAGCTACAATCCCCATATAATACAGTAAAGAAAAACAGGGATACATACTATTATTTTTTTAGTTAACATTAAATTCAAGAGAGTAAAATAAATAATTTGCGTGGGTAAGACACATCGTTTAGCTATTGTTAACAAGACGAGCATTAACAACTGTTTATTTACAAATTGTGAGTTCAGGATCAGACATTTTTCCCAAGAGCTGTTTCCAAAGATGAAGACAATGTTAATATTAAATATTACATTTTACTTCCATTTCCATCACTTTGTTACTTTGCTGCTGGCCGTGGTTTCTCACCCTCTGACCAACCAATTAGCTCCAGTCCGACCAGTGTGTCCCGCTATGAATAAGTAGATCTGCTTATGACATATTATGGAAACTTACATAACAGTACATATGATGTTAACTATTTTTGGCAGGCAGCTGCACTGATTTGTAGGATTTTGTAAGATTGGAAGTAGTTTTAAAAATGAAACCTCCAATATACTTACAATGCTTTTTCTACTTTGCAGGTAGCTCAACAACAAGTGGCAACCAAGGGACAAGGCAAGGGACAAATTTGTTCAGTAAGGCAAACTAATACACCCTCACTAACTGTGTTCGAGTGCTGTAGTTAATTATTGTTTATCGAGTAACCCATTAACGTGCACTTTGACAAAATATGTCAGTTTAGGAGTAGTTCAACCTAGTTGGCAAAGCAGCCTTTAATTATTTCACATTGATGCCTTATGCAATATGTGCAGAATACTTTAGTTATGCATATGTACTTTTGTGAGGTGTGTTACATGTGTGCTTATTAGACGTTTGTGAAATCTTTTGTCTCTCTGCTCATCTTGATCTTCTTTTTCAATCTGTCAGGATTCCCCCCATTGAGCAATTACTGATGCTGTTGACTAGTCACTAGGTTTTTTCAGTGCCACAATGGACTGAAGTCATGTGTTTACCCTGGCGCTGCCCTGTCGTGTCTGGAGAACAGTGGCTTAAAGACGGGTGTAACGTCAGACCTCTTAGACCCTGGGCACGGTCGCCAGGATAAACAGCTCCGGTATTAGAGGAGCAGAGAAGGAGCGATGGCCAGTTGTTTTCATTGTAGACACCAAATCTCTCACCTTCATGCGTCAGAGCTTAAGTAAAATGGTTTGACAGCTTTATATGCTGCCACTAGGGCTCTCTCAGCTGGTGATGAGTGTTGATGAAGTGAGTTGTTTTCAAGGGAAAGAGACACAGAAAGATTGCACTGAGCAGAAGACGTCTGTGAGAGCATATGGTAGCATTCTGCCTTGACTAAGATAGACGGTCATTGTGTTCAGGTATGCCTAGCTGGTCCTTAATGGCCTGGATCTCTTTAAGTCATGCTGCCTCTGCCAGGCATTAAATCTTGTCATGCTCTGTCGCAGCTTTGGACCGTCACTGGAGAGTTGTTGGACATATTTAGAATTTACAGTATGTACATTTAGGAGAAGGATTGTTAACATGTGGGGCCGCATGGAGCACATCTGCATGATGCTGTGCACTCTCAACACATTGGCAGGAGCACAGGAAAACATCTGAATACCTTCTGTGAGTTTTGAAGTCTTGGGGAGGGTGGCATCCATCCTCTGAGGAGACTGGAAAGCTCATTATGGATGAGATATGTAACAGAAGCCCAGGGCAGTGGTTCTCTCCATAAACCCTTCTCAGAAAGAGGCCACGGCTGAACGGCAGGTCTGTTTAGTTCAGATGGTTCCAGCATTTTGTCTCTGTGATGGCAAAAATAAAAAATGTTTCTCTGTCAAAGTTCCTGCCATGAGCTTTGTCAGCAGGGTTCACAATGTTCTTTCAATGAGTCTTAATTCTATTTAGAAAGATGTAAACACGTGTTTGAATAAGTACAAACAGATGGGGATGATCATGTATAGATGCTCGCACGCACAAAAACGCACCAAACATGAGAATACACAAATGTAAAATATTGGTTGCTTACCGGGAGTCTTGACAGGGTTTATGTTACAGAAGGCATCAGCTGTTGTTGAGCACGAGTAGTCGTGTATTTTATGACCAAGTGTTTCACAGTCACACTGACAGGGACTAAAAGCCATTATTTGATATAGAGGTTGAATAACCGACAATATTGGAACAGCACCCTTGTAGCCACAGCGTCTGATTGTTGCATGATTATAAAACTGTTGAGTTTACATCATCAATGTCCGTCACAGTTTGACTTCGACTGAGGCTGGTAAATAACTCAGCAAATAAGATAGCAAGGCCTCACACATAAACTTTATGACATGTTAATAGACTGTAAACTGAAGAGATCAGCTCTGTTTTCTCAACCTTGGAAAAACAAAGATTTCGTGTCCCGTCGGCTGTTTAATGTCAAACTGCTCTCGTTGTCTCCTTTCCTGCTCTCTCCTCTTCCTTACTCATTTGTCCTGGCTGTGTTCGTCATTAGACAGGAATGAAAGGAGGGTATTATGCAGCAGACCTGGCACCAGGGATACGCAGGACCACTCAGAGCCAACAGCTATTACTCCGCACCGCTTTTGTTTCAATTATTGAGACGACAGGTCGACACACAGTAAAGTTAAAGGTAACGGAAGTCAACGGAGACGACTGTGACCGTTAGATAAGCTAATATGAAGCTCAAGTCAGTGTACGTTAGCCAGATCCTCTTCACCAAGCTGCCACCATGTACAGTTTTACCATGATTCCCAGCTCCTGAGCCAAGTGTCTTTATTGGCTGGTCCCAGGTGAGACAAGGCGATTCACTTCTAGACGGGATCTGCTTTCAGCTCTTTATCACAAGTGGGGCCAAGGTGTCCGGGGAGAGGCCGGGGAGCTTTGTGTTGTTAATGGCACAGACAGTGTCCTCTGTGACTTGGAGCAGAGGAGGGAGAGGACCATTCGCTGCTCTGGAGCCTGGTAATTGCTAAGACGATTCATCAGCACTACTGTTGCTCGGCTCCTTACAACAGAGACATTTATCTGCTTAACAGCCAAACAGAGGAGCAGTATGACTTCAGACAGCCTCTCTCAGCTTCAACGGGTAGAACGTGGTACTACTGCCGCCAAGTTTACGACAGACTCTGATTAAACAAAGTACTACAAGTAGAACGGCACTCTGAGAGGGCACACATCTGCCAAGGCCGACTGGTGACTTTATCACCATCACGTATTGAGATTAGATACGTATACCATGTACACAGACATTTTCTGTGAACTGGCAAAATATTTTTACTGCACAATAACTGAATAAAGATCATCCCCCTAAGAATCATTATCTGTATTATCAGATTTTTTTTTCCATGAAAGATCTCTGCATTATTTAATGCAAATCCATGAAAAGGTTTCACATTATCTATTTTAAATACGTAGAATCCTCAAAAATCAATGAATAATTGATCTCGCAATGTTAAAGACAGTGAAGAAATAAATAAAAATACTGGTTCGTTGGATCGAGTACAAAATATTACGTTTTCTTTGTTGGTCCAACAAGTTTCAATAAAATGAGTTGAGTATTTTTTGCATTATTCTGCTACAGTCTGACAAACATTGAAAATATAAACTCCTTGGCAAAGGTAATAACTGATACAGATCTGATCTTCCACTTCAACACAATGAAGCCAAACTGCAGTTTAACAACAGCTGAAATGATTTATTTTCCTTTATCCTGATGTTGGTTGGTCCGTCTAACTGAATTGTTCAGAGCATGACATCTAAAGATCGAAAGATTAACATGAAATTTGTTTTATGTTTTCTGGTCACAAGAGTGTAGATTGTGATGTCATCCATGATCAAACCAGAACTCCAATTTGTGCATGAAAAAGTTTCTAATGGACAAATTACCATCAAGTTTGTTGAGTGATCTCATGTTCCCTGCAGAACTGCTTTCAATTTCAGACACTCAAGAGGTTTCATTAAATGCCCGCCACTGTCAAGTTATACTCCAGTCAGATGTACAACAGGTTTATGCACTGCATGCCAAACAGATGTTGCTGTTACCAGGGCTGTTTTTTTAGGATTTTCCATATTTGAAATAGATAATGTGAAACCTTTTCCTTGCTGCGTTGATACAGGTTACAGTGTGACAGATATGTACGGGAGCAAAACCGGCTTTTACTTGAAAACAGTCGTCACCTGGATCCGGCCAGTCACTGTACAAATAGGTGGCCATAATATTTTATTCTTAACTTTATCTCATACACTTAAATTATAGGTGAAAATGTTCACTGAGAGACTCGCTCATGTGGATTTATGGAAGCGTTGAGAGATCGTGATGCTTTAAAGTTGGAACAGAATACTTGACTCCTGCAGTAAAACGCTTCGCCCCCGACTACAGAAGCTCCAAGAGAGTGTAGTGAAATCAGCTGGACTTCTATTTCATGGTGAACATAACCAGCACCGACACAGGCCGCACACCTGCATATCCCCACCCCCGTGAGACACACACACACATATGCACACACTGCATGTCCACAAACTTGCACAGACAACCTTGTACACATGGGACACGCAGACTGAGACACTGTGCACACAAACACAGAGGTTCATACAAACTCAGACACACACTCACACACACAGCCTGGACTCTCACCACACTCAGGAGGACCTCTGCTCCCCTCTCATAACCATCTGTTAGCAATCTAAGCTTTTCACCCATCTCTTTTTCTCCTCTGCATTTCTTTCTCTCTTTCACTCTCTCTCCTTCTCCGCCTCTCCCCCCCCCCCTCTGCCTGCCTCTCTCACCCACTGGTGGATTCGTCAGTGACAATGCAACACAACGCAATACGCAACTTCAGAAACCTGTTGAGTTGTAGCTTTGTTGCGACAAATATTGTTTACGTGTGATGGTACACATGCACAGTTTGGTGGTGTAACAATTCTCTTTCGTTAGCAACCAGTGACTTTATCTTTAGCTTCACATTCGGTAGCAGAAGTCATGTTGCTGTGCTTGGCATTTATTGACTTTATTATTCAACTTTACTTACACTAGCTAGTTTTAAAAAAAAAAGCATATTTCTTAAACGATGCATTACATAACATACATCTTGTAATGTACGCGTGAGTCCAGTCAGATAATCTTTTGCTTGTGGTTGTGTTCTCATAGAAGAACCCATTTGCAGCCTGCATACCAAAACTAACAAAGTAAATAACTTTCTTTTTCTTTCTCGTCTCCCCCTCTCTTTCTGTTCCCAGTAGGTCGTCTGGTGTGAGAGGAGAAGGATCTAAAAGCTGAGATGAGAGCAGAGGGCACAGAGGGAAGGCATCTGTACGCTTGCTGACAGGAAAGAGAAAGATGGAGCAGAAAAATTATGAAGTTCCTGAGTTTAAAAAAAGAACAGAAAAACAAGAAACGAAAATGAAGCGGCGCCAAAATATTTGCACTTTCTCCTCCCTTATGTTTGACATTTTACCTGTGTTGTTTTCCCCTGAAGTGACTCAAAATGTCTTGGACAAACAAGAATATATATTTGTTAAGAGATGAGATGACCGGCTCACCACTGGAAGTATGTTTATGTTTCCACGTTTCTTCCATGTGTCCAGTCTGCCACGTGTAGTGGCTAAGAAATATAACGTCCATGTCCCCTGATACATTCAGTAGCATGCAGGCAGTGGCAGTGCACTAAAGAGGAGCTGACAGTTGCTTGATACACTTAAAAATCCTAAAAGGAAGAACTAAGGTGATTTGGACCAATTCAAACAAAATGTGTTATTTGTACGTGAACACGCAATTTGAGGCAAACCACATTTGTTAGCGTTAAACTGTGATCACTAATTTATCAGTCCAGAATCACCTGTATGAACCCACCTGCACTGTAAAGACATATTTAGAAGGATTAACATTTTGGCTCAAGAATCAGATATTTGTGAACAAAATCTGTCAGTGTCTGTTCTTCGTTTACTGAAAACAAGCTAGTTAGTAGTTAGTAGTAAGTTAGTACTTTACTAGCTTGCTTAAGAGTATTATTTTTGCAACCAGAAAAAAAAGTCAATGCAAGACAACATTGTCGTATGTACTTAGTGGTTTTCTCGGTTATTAGCATGTTGTCTGCACAAGATGCCTCAAGTTTGTTTTTTACTTGTTTGCAAGGTTTGCGCTAAAAGACTCAAAGAAATAAAAACACTCATTAGTAGTTGGGACATGGAACAAACTAAGATGTCAAAGTATCAAATACATTTTTTCTCAAAGATGGTTTCTGTCATTTGAGGTAGTTCATATCACACTGATGCTCAAGTCTTAAACTCTTAACCATCACAAAAGAAAAGAACATTTACAAATAACTTGGTTTATCTTTCCAAAACAGAATAGAGTCCAGAGACTGAGTTTTGAATATTCTTCATAGTACAAGGAAAAAGACGACTGAACCCATGGAAGTAAGATGTTTACATGGGCAGGTATCCCATTAATATCAGCTCATTTCAGCTGCCATATTCAAGTTTATTCCTGTCTTTGTAAACACGATGTGGCATTTACAAAAGCCAGCACCTAAAATAAATATTTGAGTCTGCCCAGTAATATCAGAGTGCATTTTGTGTATGTAAACACATTCATTGTCTGTCCTCCAACAGTTGATGTCAGTCCTGCTCTATGAAACACTAACCACTGTGCATACTTGGAGCTTTGCCACCTTGTGTAAGAAAGTGCCGTAAGTCTTGAAGTGACCTCCCAGGGAGTCCAATTAACAGGAACGTGACCGAGCAGGGAGGAAAAACTTTATGAACATGTTTTGGAATGTGAAAAATAAAATGTATTCCTCACATTTGGGAACAATTGAGTTTCAAGAAAGGAGAATTAAGAGTTGCTGATGTGGTCTGAATGCTTGTGTGCTTGTTTTGAGCTGTGTATTTCTTACCATATTCCCAAGAGTCACTGCAGTGGCTGATGACCGTGAGACAAAAAAGGCTCCTATTGTAAATATGTACAATAACCTTTATTTGTTTGTTTGTTTTACTAAATTGCATTGTGGGGGAATATTGGTGTTCACTTTCTTCTCTGTTATTCGATTGTAAAATATATTCTTTCTGTGTTTACATCATGTCAAACATTAGGCTACAGTAGCTACTTCACAACATTGAAATGCTTAGACCAGACTATGATATCAGCTCAGAGCAGTGTTTATTTTATCTGTGGTCGGGTTATTTGACTTTTTTTTTATTATTTGGCTTGTGTTTTACAATTCCTGTCATCACTATACACGGTCAAAACGCTGTATAGTATCTGGTGCTTAATCCGCTACGAGCACAGGCCCAGTCTTGTCTAATTTGAACTGGACAGTTGTGCCAAGAAGGAGAAAAGAAACCTGTCTGTCTTAACGGGCTGTGCAGTCTCTCTTGAGAGCCTGTGTCAGTCCCGGTTTAAACACTAGTCTTGTGTGTCTGCTGAAGTGCTTCCAGACGCTGTAAGCACGGCAGATTACATGTGAGATCTAAAACAACCCAACAGGCTGGTAATCACTGCTCATCACGATGGGGGACATATAGTGAAGGAGGATTACAGAAGACTGTCAATCTGACAGCAAGAAGCCAAGATTGTCTTTCTCCTCATCAGAAACTTTTCCACCGCAAAGCCCAAAACAGATTGTCGAGACCATTTCAAGATGTTTAGATGATACTTTCTCTTTCTTAGCTGAAGAGATCCATTGGAAACCAAAACACAGAGATGTGTTGTCTTTGGGTGAAATTGGTGAAATGTAAAATATGTGGCTTGAGGTGCAGCCGTTTGGCTCTGCAATGAAAACTAAAATGCTTGTCCAGTGCAATATAGACCTGAGCTATTTGAGCTTGTGACACAACAGACACACACAAGACAGAACAATAGAACGGACCGAAAAGCAATAGGGACGGCACCTGGATAAGGTAATCATTTAGTTTGTGAGAATGAAACACATTTACATGTTGAGACTCAATTTGTCTTGAACTAAAAATCTTGGTTATTATGAAACTGGGATGATTTTCAGATTATCTTTTCTCCTCCAGTTCCACTTGTAAACAAAAACTAAAGCAACAACTGATCCTGACTAGAGCTGAGTGATATGGACAAAAATTATATCAAGATTAAAAAGTTCACATCAGTGGATATCGATAAATATCATGAAAAGTGTCATGATATTTCATTTGCGATGTTGCTATTGATAAATCATGATATTACTATAATTATTAATATGGTTGACACGGTTTTATACCACATCTATTCAAACTAAGCAGAGTGGGAACAGTGTGCAGAGGGAAAGTGTCTGGAACAAGTGATCTGAGAGGGGGGGTGGAAGAGTTCAATACTGACCCCTAATGGTGGAGACAGTTCACTGCAGGTTTCAAGTTCACACACTGAACCTGGTTTGACAGGTACACACACACACACACACACACACACACACACACACACACACACACNACACACACACACACACACACACACACATACACACACTACACAGCAGCATCTGCCAAGCCCATCTACTTTCATGAACTGACAATAAATATTTTTAAGGCAATGTGTTGTAATTTTCTTTTTGGGTGATTATTGATGAACCAGCTAAGAAAGATATATAGATTTGGTTATCGAACATTGGCTGCAATATAAATAAGCGAGGTTAAATGTCCCCGGTTTGAAAACCTGCCTATAAAGATGCCCTCTGTTCGGCCTGTGGATTTTTGTGCAGCGATCTGATTTAGTGATGAGACTTCAAAGGTGCGGATGTTGTCAGTGCACGATGGGAGGAGGAGAAGGGCTCCGGGCTGAGGTCGCCAGTGGGGGTGGTAGTGAGGGGAGAGAGGCTTGTATCACAGATGAAACTGGAGCCAAGAGGCAGCTGCAGTACATCTGTCTTGTACTGACACATGTGGCTTTTGACTTCCAGTGTGAAGTTCAAAAGAGTTTTATAATGACGCAGCTGCTCAGGGATGTATGTGCATGTGTGCATGTGTGTTTTAGAGAGAGCGTGCACATGTATGTGTGTTGGTGTGTGTTGGTGTGTGTGCATTTCTCCTTTGTTGAAGTTGGGTTGGAGGGGAGGTGGAGAGAAGGATTAAGGGTTTTGAAGGTGATGTGTGGGCTGTGCAGGTGCTACATGATGCTGTATCAAGAGATCTATAACTTTTTTCTTTTTTAAACACTCAGATCAGAGTCGACGATCATTTTTTAAAGACTCAAACACAAATAATTTAAAGATAAAAGTTGAATTGACAGTTAAATCATTAATGAAAATCCTTTAAACCAATGCACTCCAATCCAAACAAAGTAACTTGAATCCATAGTTATAAATTAGTAAGGAATGAATACAGGGTCAGCCACTAGAGTCGGTTTCACTTACAATCTTATGGCTTTTTAAAACACCAACATCTAAATAAACATCGATCATGTGGGTCAGTGTGAGATGCAGGTCGGTGTCTGGGTTCGCCCACAGTTCTGTGAATGGCATTTTTTTTTTTCTTCCACTTCTTGTGCATTGAAACATTTAGAAACAGACCAAACACCATTACATGTAATTAGAGAGGACCATTAGTCTGTGTGATAGCTTAACATTAGCGGTGGGGGATGATAGTGTACACTCAGCAGCACCTGCCCGGCCGCCTGAGAGAAGGGTCAGGTCTCAGTGGGTCAAAGGTCATGTTCCAGACAGGCGTGTCCACATGCTAATTGAGAACTCAGGCGCAAGAACACAGCTTGCATGTAGACAACGCATTTTGCCCCCAGATGATAACTATTATTTCGAGATCATTCTGTTTGTGCTAGTGGGGAACGTACCAGTCGGTTCATCTGAGGAGCTTAAGAGATTTGTTTTAAGTCCTGTGAAATTTAAGATGTTTCCATGACATAGATATTAAAAGGGCACTGGAACAGAGCACACATATCTCAGCCAAGGCCCAACACCAGATCTAGACTCTTAATTGGATCTGCACCAAATTGCACACACTCATAAATATCAGTCAGTTTCTCAAAGTCCATGAATTATTCTCTGAGAAATCAGTGAAAATGTTGAAAAAATCTTACAAAGTTAAAGAAAGTGAAAAGAAAATTCTGGATCCAGCCTCTGCTGAGTTTTTTCTTGATCCATAGCACATCTGTCCACCACGTTGCTGTCCGGGGGTTTTTGCGTAATCATGCTAACTAAGAAACGAACAGACACGAATGCAGACGAACACATCATTTCCTTAGTGGAGGTAACGCGACTAAATTCCAGTTTTCTGAAACTTAGAAATAAAAAAAGGATTTATTTGCCATTTACTTTGCAGACAGATTGAGTTTTATCACGAGGAATTAAAAGCAAACTATTTTATGTTCTCAAAAGTCTGACAATAAATTAAAAAAACATGTCAAACAAAGAAGTACAACATTTTTCACCCCAACCCTCAAATCATGAATGGAAATGAAGGATTGATATTTTTGATAAAAAAAACTTGAACATCTTTTGTTGTTTCCCTTCAACACAAGTATATATATGAGTCAGCGCAGCATATTTGGTTAATTTAAGTAATGTGCTTTATTACAGAATCATTTCCAGGCCTCTAAGACCATTATTTAAACACATTTTATGACAAGATTATTTTTATGCACAAGTTATGTTGTTTGTGGTGAGGTTATGGAATAGTTCCTCACCAATGATTAGGTTCATCTGTCTCCTCAGTGAAGTGCTTTTATTAATTTGGCTCATGTGCTTCAGCAGCAAAAAGCTGTTGCTGCCCATTTGGCTTTGGTCAGGAGGCAGGTGTGTGTGTATGTGTGTGTGTGTGTGTGTGTGT